ATGTCGGATTAAGACCTAAGATGTATTCTATAAAGAAGTCTGATAATGGAAAGATAAGAAAAGCTAAGGGTGTTAAGAAGTATGTGGTAAAAAAGCATATCAAACACGAACAGTATATAGAAGCATTATTCAATAGTAGAACGTTCAAACACGAGATGAACTCTTTAAGAAGTTACAATCATAGGATATATGGATTAAGAATGAACAAGACATCATTATCCCCCTTAGAGTGAGTGAGTGAGTGAGTGAGTGAGTGATAAGGATGGTGTAACTACCTATGCTTATGGTTACTTAGGGCGGTAATACTGTACCGTTGGGAACTATGAGCAACTCTTCTCGTACAGATGTCCTGCCCGGTCCATCTTTAAGATAATAAAGAATAGGCTTTCCTTCTTTCGTAACCAATCGACTAATGTTATATATATTAAGGGACCAAATCGGATCGGTTGCGAGACGTAGGCCTCCTTCGAGTTCACTGGGCTGGTACAAATATCATACGCTTACTCTATCCGGAAGTTTTTGTTCTTTGCCTCTCCGCGGTGCTGAAGACTCGGAAGTCACAGATTTCATTTTAATCACATCGGATGGTTTCTTCTCGATTAATCTCGTTACTTCATTATTCAGCGCTGATACAACAGCTGATAACCGTGTCACCCATTCGGTTTATCTCAATCGTTCCGATTTCATTTCATTCCCATACTGATAGCCAAACAAACGTTCCGCTAATGTCCGGTTAAATCTTTTGCCGATAGCTTGACTGCGGTGGGCCTCTTTTTCACCACGCCTGATTTCGACATCGTGCTTTGTTAACAGTTTAGTTACCGATCCCATAAACTCGGGACCAGGATCTACTTGAAATAACTTGGGCCATTTTAGTGGTCCGCGTTTATATATAGGCTCAGTGCATTAGCTACTTCTGTTGAATCTTTTGAGGTTAATGGCTCAGCCTCTTTGTATCGACTAGCCACATCCACTACGGTTAAAGCGTATTTATACGTTTTGCGTCTTACCTTATCATGGGGGAGAAACAAGAGGTCAGCCTGATGAACTTCATTCGTTGTAAAAATATCAAACTTCTTCCTCGGTATATAATGCGGTGCCGGTAAGTATATTTGCCACATCACTTGTTTCTTTAACCAATCCTTGGGCACATCTTTAGATACCTTAGCCGCGTTGTCTAATTTTTGTATTGCTCATATACCTTTCCAATATCCTTGTGGGCTATAGTAAATTTTATCCATTATTAATTAATATTGATGTTTCTTTTAATACGAATCATGACTGTCGTTGAATTGCATCGTCATTTTTGCATAAAAAATTTCCCCTGTAGTGGTGGTATAGGTATATAAATCTGGCTCCAGTGGAGTTGTGGCAGAACCCCTATTACCTATTATATCATAGAAGTATTGATTGACTCCAGGTGGTGGTGAGCTAGAGTCAATTTAGCTTAATCTCATGACTATCGTTGAATCGCATAGTCATTTACACATAAAAAATTCCATCTGTAGTAGCAGTATAGGTATATAAATCCGGCTCCAGTGGAGTTGCGGCAGAACCCCCATTAACTATACTACTGATGTCAGTAAGTTGTTGTTAGTTCTTCATGACATATGAAAGGAATCCAGATTGTTACATTTATTCATTTATTTCATTAAATATACTTCTTCCTATGAAAGGAAATATTTTATGTTATATTTATTATCCATATGTTAATCATACATTGCTACAAATATTGTCATAAGTTAACATGGTTTGCATTTATTTATTATTTTTTCTTTATCTGAGAGAAGTTCACAGAGATCGAGAATACACAATATCTAATAGTACATGCAATGTAGGTAAAGAATATCCACGCCCCTCTTTTGATATTAATAAAAACATTGGGTCCTCCCGGACGCTCCCTGGCATTGCCCGGACGCTTCCGGACGTTTCCGGACGCCCCTGGGCGTTATTTAGTATGACCGAAAACATTGTATATAATGTTATGTATTAAGTATTCTCCTTTCCCATGCATGGGAAATCTATGCTGCATTTGCTGACGACTGTTTTTTTTCCCCTTTGACATTGCACAGGAGATCTGTCACTCATTTGTTGTATTTGAATTCTTCGTCAAAATATCAAGTATAAATACGATTGAATTGTCTCGTTTGTTTCAAGGAAACGGTCATGTGCTCCTTATCAAATTAAGTAAACCTCAAATGCAAATCGACATAATTTCAGGGTCCGGTTGCACAGAGCTCTGTTCGGTAACTCGTAACTCAATGTTATTGCAATGGACTCCTAGCTAAGCTGCTATTGGATGATAAATCAATTAACCTATTTGTCGAATAGACGTACCTTATGTAATCCATCATTTTTAACCCGAGGATGGATCTTTCAGTCATAAATTTCGATGTGTACAGTGTTTCGTTATGCGTTTGTTTCATTCGTGAATGATGCATAACTTAAGGATCACAGGAGGCGTCTGCTTGATGGTTGTTTTACTCCGGAAGTCGGTACATGGAATCACGTGATGTCCCATTGACATATTTGGGGACGTGATGCACGAGATGAATATTACATATCGTAACATCTCCCTTTTTTTAGAACACAATTAAAGTCAATGAGATAATAGGGAGTGTGAAACTGTTCACATTAAAGTCACTGTTCCTATTAAAGTCACTGTTATAAAGAAACATATGCATGTAAATAAGATTAAAGTCCATGAAATTAAATTGATGTGCGACCAGCACTTAATAGATACACAAAATTAAAGTCATGTTCACACTTTCATGTTAAAGTCTTTCAAGTGTGCAGGTGGTCTTGAAACTCTACCACATCTCGTGATTCTCGGTGATGAGTTGTTGTTACTTGTTGTTGTCACCAATGGCTGTGTCTGTGACTGTTTAACTTTCTTGGGAGACGGTTGTTCAAGTGGCTGGTCTGTACCTGGCTCTGGTGCTTGTATAATTGCTGGTGCTTGAGCATGTTGAGATGCTGGTGCTGGTTCATGAGGTGTTAATGGTACTGGTCTCAAGTGACGTCTATTTCTCCTTAGTGTTTGACCATCATCAAGGTTAACTTCATATGATCTGATGTTAACTTGTTTGTTTACTGTGCCTTTTTTCCATTCATGATCACCTAGTCTGACTGGTTGAATGCGCACTTGGTCGCCTTCATACAATGGCAACAGGTCTTTTGCATGTCTGTTGAAATACTTCACTTGACTCTCTACTTTCTTCCTCTTTTCAGATTTGACTGTTGGACAAACAGCTGGTTGGAGTAACTGTTTGGTCGTAGGTAGTAGAGTCTTGGTGCGGCGATTGAACAGGCGCTGTGCAGGGGATGTGGACATTCCTTCAGTTGGTGTGTTGCGGATGTCTAACAAGGCTAGATAAGGGTCAGAACCTGCTTTTGAGCATTTCTTGATTAGTCTCTTGGCTGACTTTACTGCAGACTCGACTTTACCATTCGACTGTGGGAAGGCTGGTGAGCTTGTTATGTGAGTAAACTCATACTTGTTGGCGAGATCAGCAAAGTCCTGAGAATTGAACGGTGGACCATTGTCTGAGATTATGGTATCCGGTATTCCGTGTCTAGCCAAATGACTTTTGAGTTTCTGGATCACTTGTTTTCCTGTTTTGTCAGTGATCATATCTACTTCAAAGAAGTCACTGAAGTAGTCAGCTAGGATTACATAGTCTTTCTGATTACAGTTGAACAAATCAATACCTAGCTTTGACCAGGGTCTGTCTGGAGTGTCATAAGGAATCAGAGGTTCCTTGGCTTGCTTGGAATCATAGATCTGGCAAACTTCACATTTGGATATGAAGTCTTTGATTTCAGCATTCATGTTAGGCCAATAAACACATTCACGGGCCCTTCGCCTGGTTGATTCTATGCCAGTGTGAGCATTATGTAGACGTTTGAGAATGTCAGATCGTAATGCTATTGGAACAACACATCTGTTTCCACGAAACAGAATTCCATCTTGAACACTAAGTTCATCCCTCACATGGAAATATGGTGTTGCAAGATTAGGTATGTCAATCTTTGTCTCAGGCCATCCTACTTGTACCATCTTGGCTACAACCTGGAGGGTTTCATCCAGAGCGGTTGCATGTTGGATTTCAGTGAGTCTTTCATTAGACACAGGCAGGTAGTCTAACATGGGGATTTGTTCTGTTTCCATCTCCACATCCACAGCTTCTTCTGTCTCTGTCATGTATGCACGAGACAGGGTGTCGGCAAGATACATTTCCTTGCCTTTCTTGTATGTGATGGTATAGTCATACTTCTGCAAGGCGAGAAGCATGCGTTGAAGACGCTTGGGAGCTGTGACCAGAGGTTTCTTGTGTATAGTCTCTAAGGGCTTATGGTCACTTTCGACTTGTACTTTGCGTCCATAGAGATACTGGTGGAATCTAGTGAATCCGAACAGGATGCTCAGGAGCTCTTTCTCAATTTGAGCATAGTTTCTTTCTGTGGGAGTAAGAGCTCTGCTAGCATATGCTACTGGTTGTCCACCTTGAAGTAGAGTAGCTCCAAGTCCTGTTTCTGATGCGTCACTTTGAAGAGAGACTTCTTCATGACTGTTGAAGTACTTGAGAACAGGCGCTTGAGTGACAGCTCGCTTGATAGAGTCGAAAGCAGCATCATGTTCGTGTGTCCAATTCCAAAGGATTCCTTTCTTTGTCAATTGTCGTATGGGTTCGCACAGATCTGACAAGTCTCTGAGGAACTTGGATAGATATGTAACCATCCCAATCACACGTTGGACACCTTGAACATCTGTAGGTGTAGGCATTTGAAGGATTGCTTTCACTTTTCTAGGGTCAGGTTTGAGTCCATGATCTGTTAGAAGATGACCAATGTAAGAGACTTCTGACCTTTTCAGATCAAGTTTGCCTGAGTTGAGTCGAATACCTTTCTCTCGGCATCGTATCATGAATTGCACAAACCGTTTGTCATGGTTTGCTATTCCTTCTTCCTTGGTAGAGCCTTCACCAATGATCAATATATCATCTGCTATCCTGAATACTCCAGGCACCAAAAGGAAGTCTGAGCCACCGAAAGTGTCCAAATGGCGTTCCAAAGGTTGTGAGATAACTAGAGTCCTCATCAAGTACGATATGCCAGAAACCATCTTTCAAGTCACATTTAGAGAACACCTTGGCTTCTGCAATATCTGGCAGTATATCTTCCATTACAGGCAATGGATAGTGACATCTTTTGAGAGCTTTATTGAGAGGTTTAGGATCTATGCATAGGCGTAGACGTCCTGAGGGCTTCTTAACGATCAAGAGACTAGAGACCCAGTCTGTAGGTGTATCAACTGGAGTAATTACACCACGTTTTTCTAGACGTTCGAGTTCTGTCTTGAGGTCTTGCTTGAGAGCATGTGGAATTCTCCTGAGTGGCTGTTTGACAGGCGTTATACTTGGATCAATTTCTAGCTTTTGAGTTCCTTCAAAAGTTCCAAGTTCATCGCTAAAGATGTCTGGGTATGTCTTCAGTATGTCCTCTTTTGTAAGACCAGTTGAGGATGTGACTTTCTCAGACGGAGGTTTCTCTTCAGAAACTTCAAGGATATTTTCATGGAGCACTTTGATAAAGTTCATTTGTTGAGCAGAACGGGATCCAATCAGTGGTGTTCTGTCCTCAGCAATCACAACAAACTTGCCATGATACTTTTTAGAGTTCTTGGGATTGCGTAAATGGAGATTAGCAGTTCCCATTGTAGTAAGCTTGGACCCATTGTACATCTTCAGGTTAACCAACGTATCCTGCATGTCAGTATCCTCTGGGAGATACTTTTTAGAGATAACATTACAAGTAGCCCCGCAATCTACCTGAAATCGTACTGGTTGAGAGTTCACTTCAAGTGTTGTGAAGATTTTAGTAGGGTATTGTCCTACAACACAGTTGACAGATTCTTCACAGGTATCTATAGTCATCAGTTCCTCTGTAGGATCAATATCAGATTCATCACATTGATCATCGACTCTGTGTACTCGGGAGGAATGTTTCTTCTTACTCTTGCACACGGAGGCATAGTGTGAAAATCTACCACAGTTACTGCATTTGACACCATATGCTGGGCAATGCTCTCGTTGAGGTGGGTGACGTTTACCACATTATTTACAGTTCCACATGACAGTTTTCTGTTGTGAGTCATTTACTGGGTTACTATGTTTACTTTTGTCTGGGGGTTGACGTCTGCATGGAGTTTTAGATTTCTTGCGAACAGCATGGATATCCTCTTGGGCACTTGACATTGCTTTTACTTGAGCCATGGTTGATTCAGTTGCTCTGCATATATCTATGCATCTCTTCAAAGTCAGCTTAGGTTCTTGCAATAGTTTTCTACGTGTTGCATTATCTCTCAGACCACACACAATTCGGTCTCTGATGAGTTCATCATGTAACGTTTTGAAATCACAAGATGCAGCCAATGTTCTGAGAGTGTTTGTGTAGGTATCTACAGATTCACCTTCCATTTGTGATCTTTGGTTGAAGATGTATCTTTCATATATGACGTTAGTTTCACCTAGACCATGTAGACAGTGCCTTTCCATGAGAGTTAACCCTGTATCCATGTTCTCCTTGTCCTCCTCAGACTCATAAGGTAAGCCATTATAGATATCAAGAGCTTCTGGACCTATGTAGGTTATGAATGAAGCAAGTCTGTATTTATGGTCATTTGCATCAATTCTGGCCATAACTTCAAAAGAGTCCCAGATTTGTCTCCATCTTTTCCAGTTCTGTGCAAGATTTCCCTTTAATTCAAGTCTTGGAGGTGGGGGAATATTGCCTTGAAATGTAGCTTGAGTAACAGGTTGTGCTTGCTCTTCAGCCATAGTGATGATAAAAGTTGTCAGAATTTTTTCTTCCTAAAAGTTCATAAAACTGCTTCAAAATTACTCATTTGCTGTTTAAAAGTTCAAATTGCCATAAACAATGACTATTCAAATAATGTCCCTTTTAGGCTTCCATAGAAAAAAAATTCACCATCAGGGCCTAGATTTTCGAAACGATCTTAGCTAAGATAAATCTTAACAACTTACGTTCAAAGATAAGATATCTTAAGGCTAAGATAAGATAGATTTTCGAAACTATCGTAAACCTGTCGCAGATCGTTCAGAGTTACGATACCTATTGTAACTCTGACAAGGAACTCATTTGTGTTAGAGATTGAAAAAGCGAGGTGTTTCCCAATGACGTCACGGGGATTTCCCAGCTGCTGACAATAACAACAACATAGATAAGTGACACAGAATTCATGATCACATTGTCAGGTCATATTGTTTAACATGCACATATTTGAGTGAAATTCTGTACAATCCTACATATGTCCTACATGTAGACGTGTTGTTCTTATGATAAAAGATGCCATGAATAACCGAACACAAAAAGCATTCGTGTGCCATGCAATAGCATTTTTTAAAGCCAAAAAATGTTATAATCAATAAGTATAGCGTTACCACACTTTAGCTATTAGAATGGAAATAATGTGCCAAAAGATACTTCACAATTTTCCCTTCAAATGGTCCTCTCGTGACCGCGCAGAACTTTATGATACAAACACATCGCGTACAAAGTCAAGGACGAAAGTAAGGGACGTTATTCTAAATGACAATGACGAGACCTTTGATCGAACAGCATATGCGTTCAGCATTTAACATGCGTGTTCAAGTCTGATGTTAAGTGATGTATACTGTATATGTTTGTGTTTATGTCAAAAGTCAAGTTTATATTAGTGTAAACACCAACATTATACGTGGAAACACTCAAAACAAAAATTGTTCAGGAAGCTGCGCACCCACAAGCAAGATTTTATGACAATCTAAGCTTGTTAAGTTTGTTTTGTTATTTATGTATCCAATATATTTCACGAATTAACCAAGGACTTAAATACAATATCAAGCCAAAGTATTTAGATGATGAAATTATTTTTTATCTATATAGATCCATAATTCTTTTCAAAATTTATAAGTGACACTAATTTTCGTTCGCAAAGAGAGATAATTTCGGAATTGTCAAGTTATGTTGTCTCATGGAACAAGCCACATGTTAACGTAAACATACATATAATGTAGTCATTTTCTATCCTTTTAAATTAAGTAGAGCTAATAAACTGATTTGCCTGATTTCATTTAAATCTGACTAAGGAGCGAAATACTTTGTAATGTGTCAAATCTATTCCAGAACGTAGTTCAATAATGTTTGGCTTGTCTGACAGCATTGCTGAGGATCATTTACTAGTATTTGTCCGTTGACCCTAAACGTGACAACGATTTTATTGTTTGAATGGTCTCAAGTATATCTATATATTTTTTAAACATAAAACGGGAAGATGTAGACTTAAATATTAAAAACACCAAAATATTTTAAAACCGGTTTATTGAATGCAAAGATTATTGTGTTGAAAATGTGTATTTTATATTGATCAGTATATTTCATTCAATAAACTTTTTTTTCTGCGAACATATATTGGAATTTGCAAACTATGCTACATTTTGACGAGAACCAGAACGAGCATGGGAACCCATTTTTTATTTGATTTGTCGATACGAAAATCTGTGCTTAACTTTTACTGTCAAAATTTCAGTAAATTGTTATATTTACTTGAATACATCTATATGCCGTTAATCAATGTTTTTAAAGAATGCAATTGTTCAACAAACAGTTTTTAATCATTTTTTTTTCAAATATTTGTCTTTCAAGATGATATAGATAACATAGGTATTGAATTTAAAACGAAACAAATTACAATTACTTTTGCAAGAAAAATATTAGATATTGAAAACAAATATTTGATCACATGTATTTCCTTGTTAAGTCAATAAATACTACACTGTATAGTTAAAATTCAATTATTAAAACCACCCGTCCCGCATGATTTTAGATGTAAAAACTTATGCGAAACCTTTATGGTTATTTTTACATATGTAGATTGATATAATTTTATCAAATGCGAAAATAAAGACTAAAGCATTGACACAAATGCGATCCAGAAAATATAACAGCGGAACTCTGCGCTTTATGAAAACTGTACCATTGAGCAAGGTGTCCCGGGCGAGTACAAAGGGAAACCACTCTCAACTAGAGTTTGAACTAAGATTAGCTCCCCCTGAGTTATCAATGAGGTCACGGTCATTACTGTAGCCTTCCGACACCTTCCCTTTTTATCCCTCCCAAATTATCGAAAAGGTATGTTGTTTCACACTTCTTCTGCATGGACTCGGATAGAAATATATTGTAAGCTATCGACTCCACAGTTATGTGGATCGCTGTCGCGATTGAGAAAATTTTTGACGCGAAATCCATGATGCGTTCTTTTTGTTTTCGAAGTGTCAATTTGAATCACTCAGTTTTACCAAATGAAATGTCAATGTTTGAACGTAAAGCAGACTTATTGTTTGGCAAAATATCTATGGAAAAGTATGCCGCCATCTTGGATGAAGATAAAATAAACTTACGACAGGTATAGGGCTATCTTAGATTTACGACAAACTTAAGATATCTTAGGGCTACGATAGTTTCGAAAATAGGCTACGATAGCCTACGATTTCCTTACGATAACTTTACGATAATCTTAGGGCTAAGATCGTTTCAAAATCTAGGCCCAGCACTTCAGTAGATTTCTTGCGAAATTGAATTATGGCACCACACAGGCTTCCATACTTTTTCAATTAGTTCTTAGAGAGAGTTTTCAAGTGCAAATTATATCACAATCAAGTTGTTGCGTATAATAAACATCAATCTTCAGAATGAAAATTAGTTTCAGCTTTTGTTCACTTTGTAGAAAGTTAATTTAGAGTTATGCAATGCAGCGAGTCGAGCAACGCACGTACACGTGGGTTTGACACATCGAGATTGCCGGTCAAATACATTTAGTTCACTGAAACTCACTTGAGTTGGGAGTAATAAAGTTCATTTAGTGACGAGAGTGAGTTGTCACCACTTCTGACACCATGTTTGGCAACAATGCAGTTTACCGGGCGCAGCCCGAGCTCTACCATCCGCTCAATTACCGCGCTATAGTGCCACCGCTGTCTCGTTATACCGTTACCGTGCCTCACGCTCTGGTGACTCTCGCTTCACGATCCAACAACCGTTTTCGGTCATAGGGAAACTTACACATCTTTACAATCAAACACCCGTTCTCGGTCTTAGGGAAACTTACACATCTTTACGATCAAACACCCGTTCTAGGTCTTAGGGAAACTTACACAACTTTACGATCCAACACCCGTTTTTCGGTCTTAGGGAAACTTACACGTCTTTTCGATCCAAAACCCGTTTTCGGTCATTAGGGTCAGCTGGCTTTGGGCAAGGGTTAGCCATAAATTCTTACCTTTCAAGCGTTAATCCAGTTAATCCCATTGGTCGGTCATGTTGACATAAACAATTGCGGGTGTGGTTTCAAGAAAAGATGAATGGGAGAGCGGGCAGTGACGTCACACGCATGCGCAATTCATTGTTTACTGAATTACGCATGCATGTCAATGGGGATTCTAATGACCTGTTAAGAGGACTGATTACATGTGATAGTGCCTGCGTTCCAGTGGTAGAGCGTAGGCTAATTAACGCATTAATTAGCAGAGCCGGTGAGCCGGCGAAGCGCGTTCGAGCCCCCACAGCGCTAATTGGATCTGAAAAAGTGCGCCCGGTAAAGTGCACTACTCCCAAGACTGCTAATAAAGTAATTCATATCGTTTGTAGACCATCTATTCTTCCAAAAGAATAACCCACATGTCAATGATGGCAGGCAGGCCAGCGACATACTTCCAAAATAAAACCTACCAGCAGTTATCCCCCTTTGTAACCACGAAAATTGCAACCCGCTAAAAAACAAACTTGACAATAAATCACTGCTATTTGCACTAGGGTTAATCATAGCAATTCTCCGACAATCTATCCGGAACACATAAATACCAAATAATAATTTTATCATTTTGGCCGTAACAGATATATTACAATTAAGTACAAAACACACAGAGTATTTTATCAAATAAATAAGAAAACTAAGTTCATTCTAGTAATTAATCCTCTTCTGGACAACCATAGAATGAAATTCCAATGCGTTTATATATACATATAATTATACAACAATGTACGATAACGACCCCAATCCTCCCCCACACCCATACTTTAATGACGATTGTACGATAAACCCTGTACCAACCCTGACAAGGATAGGTTCTAATCATTTAACGCCTTTGACACTAAACTTATAAGGTTATTACAATTTACGTAAAAAGTTTTTACATTTTACCGCCAGTTGAGATTATTACAATTTACGTCAATTTTTATTACAATTTGCGTTGTTATTACAATTTACGTCAAAATTATTACAATTTGCTGCAAGTATTACAATTTACCTTTTTATTACAATTTATGTCGTAACAGGCCCCTATAGTGGTCAAGAGGGGATATTGCTTAACCGCGAGAAAGCGAGAAAGTGAGAAAGCGATGTCCCCTCTCGGCCACCATACATTAGGGGTCAGAACAACCTTTCATCCGACCAATCAGAGCGTCTATTACCAGATCATGAAAATGACAATCGGAACGTGATTCCTAATCATGCAACCTCGAAAACTTTAACACGGGGTATTTTGAACGATAGTTATGGGCTTAATGACTGAATCCAAACAATCTAGACCATCTATTAGCCATTTCAGAATGTTCTTTTGTTCAGGTTTCAATTTTTTATCGAGAATTTGTCAAAATATGTTTCAAGCCTAGTCGCCAATTTGAAATTAATGCTGTAAAGTATGAGAAAGCTGCGTTCTCATTGGCGTTCTTGTCAGCCATTCCGTTGGTCGCTCAAGGTCAGTCTGACGTGACCTGTAAT